TAATTCTTGGGTTCCATAGTAGACCTGATATAAATGAGTTTCATATTAACTGTTTTTATCTAGAAAAATATCATCATAATCACATTACATTGCAATACAATCATGATGTTAACAAACAATATGAATCCCTGAAATTCTTAGTAATACCAATGTTCACTTTGTCTGGTTTTGTTGCAGCATGCCCCAAATATTAATTCACAACTTGATGCAACAAATTCTATATTGTTATAGTTGTTATTATTAAGGGATTGTAAAATTACAATAATTATATCTTATATAAATGTTGTATAAATAGTATATCAATCATATTGACGTTGTTTTGTACCTAAAATAACAAAGCAACCAAAAATAGCTTAATAGTGCTGTTTGCCCGATAATAATTATTATTACCACAATATACAAGGACTATGAAGGAAAATAGATTGTCAAAGAAAAAATATTTCAATTGGATTAACAATATGAATGTATTATTTTATTCAAATCGTTTTATTCAAACTTTCAATGTAATTCGAATAAACCTTATTCGAATAGAATTCATACCACTACTTTAAGAAAATTTTTTTGGTCTGATACTTTTTTAAGATTTCCGATAAAATTTTCCCAAACCGGGCATTCCCCCGATATTTTTGATCACACATTTCGCACCCCGTTTCTCACCCTAACTAATTATAATTATTACATGAATTTTATTCGAGCGGATTCAATCGGAATGTTTTGGCGTAATGATGCACATGGGCGGCTTTTACGTGTAGTACATGATTCTTTGGAATCATCTTTTAAGAACCTTAATATAAACGCCATACTATTTTTACCCAAACTACGATAAAAATTGGCCATGTGGTTGGTTACACTGAATATCAAAGTATTAAAATAGAGTGTGAGATTTTTTTTATTGTGTCAATCAATTCAATAATAAATACCAAATTTTTTTTTTTTTCGTTTTTTTATAAAATTTTTGATTTTTAAAAATCACCATTAATGGAATCAATTATCTTACATCAGGATAACAAAATAGATGATGGAAAAAATGATGATGATAATAATGTTAACATAGAGGATGGCGGTAGTGATGATGAACTAAAAGAAAATTCCAAGTTTGAAATAAAAAAATGGATAAAAAATAAAAGCTCCAATGCAGCACCAGTGGTTCGTCGGAAATTGGAAGATCTGGCTAGTAAATTTATAAAATTCTTGGGTTTCGTTGGTCCCGGATACGGTTGGTTTTTATTAAAATTTTATCAGAGAATATGGTTTTATAATTTTAAAAATTACCAATTAATTTTTCAATTAATAATATATAGTTATTGCCGTGGGTTATCTTGATCCAGGGAATTGGGCTACTGATTTAGCAGGTTAATTAGTAAAATCAAAAAATAATTTTTGTTACGATATATATATTAATTAATATTTTTAAACATTAGGTGGCTCGCAATTTGGTTATTCACTTTTATTTATAATTTTATGTTCTAATTTCATGGCAATGTTATTACAAAGTCTATCGATTAAATTGGGTGTAGTTACTGGAATGGGTAAGATGTTAAATATTATTATTGTTATCATTATCATTTATTTTAATTTTACTAATTAATATATATGTATATATATATATATATATAGATCTTGCAAGAGCTTGTAAAGTTTTTTATCCAAAATATGTTGGTTACGTGTTATATGTATTAGCTGAGCTTGCTATTATTGCATGTGATTTGGCCGAAGTTATTGGCAGTGCAATTGCACTTAAAATGCTTTTTGGACTTGCATTACCCTGGGGAGTTGCTGTCACTTCTCTTGATGTTATAGTCATATTATTTATTTATCGTGATGATGATCTCAGATCTTCAAAAATACTGGAAGGCCTGGTGATGTTACTTGTTGCTATAGTTGGAATTTGTTTTGTTCTGGAACTAAGATATTCAGAACCTAATCCGGCTGATGTTCTAAAAGGATATTTACCTAGTTCAGGAATCTTCACAGACTCTAGACAATTGTACATTGCGATTGGTATTATTGGTGCAACAGTTATGCCTCACAATTTATATTTGCATTCACACTTGGTCAAAGTTAGAAAACATCGTGAAGAGTCAAAAGAAATCAATAACAAAGAAAATAAATTGGAATCAGGTCAAGATATAGCATCAACGACATCAATATTCCAATCTATCGTTAGTCATACAATAACATACTCAACAATAGATTCAACGGCTGCATTAACTTTTGCACTTTTTGTCAATTCTTCAATTCTTATCGTGGCTGCTTCTAATTTCTTTTACAACGAATCAGGGAGCATTGAGGTGGCTGATTTGTTTGATGCATTTGATTTATTAAACCAATACCTTGGAAAAGCTGCTGGGACTATTTTTGCATTAGCATTATTGATTGCTGGTCAAAGTTCAACACTTACAGCAACAATTGCAGGCCAAATTGTTATGGAAGGGTTTTTAGGTTGGACAATAAGACCATGGTTAAGGAGACTTCTCACAAGAATAGTTGCTATAGTACCTGCCATGCTAATTGCCATTTTTAGAGGTGAACAAGGATTGAACGAAATGCTGGTAGCAAGTCAAGTGGCTTTAAGTATTCAATTACCTTTTGCTGTTATACCTTTAGTCTATTTTACTAGCAGCAGGAAATGTATGGAAATTGATATCAGAAAAGTATTTAACGAATCAAAATTAAATAATAATAATAATAACAATACAGATGGGCTACAACTACAGATTGATGATGGTAATGATAATGATAATAAT